TTTCTGGGTATCAAGTGATTGGTAACAATAATTAATTGTTGATTTTAAAATTTTTAAAACCCATCTTTGTACAAAGTAGGTTTTCGCCAAATTCCTTTATCATTATATTACCAATTAAAAGATGCGCAAAATTTTTGGAAAAAAGTACAATAAACAAACACATTTCTAAATAATAATACTTTTTTAATTTATAATTTTAAAAAATAGATTTAGACATTTATATATCGTATACATCCTACATATAAAAATCTCTAAAGAACATTTTTAGGAAAAGTTACTATGTTCTTGACAAGATTCTTAACAAACATGTATATATAAATTGGTCCAATAAAAATACAACAACATTACATTGATAATAATAAATACATATATAATAATGTACATATAATAATATTGTGATTATGATTCAGTGATATAACTTCTTGAACGTCTTCTCCAAGTATTTCCAGACAATAATTCCTTGATAGTATCATCGAAATTATCTTGTTCATCATTCAAAGAATTTATACTCAATGTATCAAACTATTTATTAAAAATTTTTCGTTAAAATTAATAGAAAATTTCATGATAAACCACAATATTGTATTTATTTACCTGTTGTTTTGATTGATCATCTTTCGCCTTTTGTATTTTCCTTTTAATAAATTCTTCGTTTTCATTTTTAGCTTTCTAATGAAATAAAATTTATTCATTCATTAATACTAATTAATTGGCGACGAAAAAAAAAAAAGGAATAACATTAATAATAATACACAACATAGCAATTATTTATTTACCATAAATGAAGATGAAAATGTTAAAATTAATCCTAATAAATCTTCGACTTTCTTATCATCTGGATTTTCTCCATAATAATAAATCAATATTTTTTTTGACTCTTCTTCTAACTCATTTGTCATATTTTTAATTTTTTCAATTGTTGGTCGTGCAATTTGAATAAATTCCTAAAAAATGCAATATAATTAATAAAATCAATACATCTATATCTATGTTGTATATCAATACATATATACCCACATATATAATATATTTATGAAAAAACAAAAGAAACTTACGCTCATAACTATTATAAAATTATCCTTAATTTCCGAATTAGTTGTAGAAGAAAGAAGAGGTAATTGCTTTAGAATTCCTAATTCGTTTTCGATCCGTGAAATGCCCGAGAACAATGACTTCACAGATGATAAAACAGAAGTTGTGGAAATTCTGACTGATGCTTCCAAATTTGGTAATTCTTCCATAAAATTCATAATGTCATTTTGATACATTTCTAATGTATACACTAAATAATGTAAAAGTGTAGCTATTCCTTTTTCATTATTAATATCCATTACTTTTGTGTCTTTCATCTATATTCAATAGATAATGAATGAATGAATAAGTATTTCTGTCTGTCTGTCAATAAAGAATGAATGTGAAATGTATATATATATATATATATATACGAATACCTTTAAAAGTGCATCTAATTGAAATCCTGATGCATTACCTCGAAATGACGAGGTATTTAAATAATTACCAATTACCAATACGGTCTAAATACATGCAAACAAATATTATCTTAATATTTATATTAATGTTATGTATATAAATAACTTTATTGGTTTTATTTTTATTTTAGTTATTTACCTTTAGTAATTTTTTGAATTTTCTTGATGTTTTTATTTCGGTAAATGCTTTACGTAGCACATTAATTTTCTATTTATAAAAAATTCAATATAATTAATAAATATGTGTATGTATGTAAATGAATAAATATGAGGTGACTTACAGGTACAAGTTTTTGTACTTTATTTTCAAATTTACGCCTAAATATCATGCAAGTTAATCGTTCAGCTAGCCTCGGAATCATTATAATATTCTTGAAATAGTTTTCTGCATTACCAAGTGCCAACAAATCACCAGTATATTGATTGATTAAATTTTGTTCTTGTAATGTTGGGACATATTTTTTAATTGATTTCAAATTCTCAATTGACAATTTTTCATCGTCAATTTCTAAAATAGCATCTCTTATTTCAGAATAAGACATTTTAACTTTTGATAACATAATAGCTATGTTATTAGCTCGACTAAAATCTAATAGTGTGATAGCTGCATTCTTTTTTGTTTTTGTTGTAGGTGATGTTGATGCCATTGCTAATGATGATGTTTGATCTTGTTCAACAATAATTCTTTGACCAAACAATTCATCCAATTCTTCAAAATTAATTGGAATATTATCACTAGGAATTTCTTGCCATACTGTTTTGTTAATCTCATTTACTGAAAATTTATTCCAAAATAATTGTTTTAATGGTCCTTTTGGTTTTGAAGAAAATTTACTTCCAGATAATAGGGGTGGAGGGGGTGGCGGTGGAGGAGGAGGTGGAGGTGGTGGTGATGATAAATCAGAATTAGTATGATTTTGGGAAAATGATATTGTTGTCTGTTGTGGTGGTGGTGATGATGATATTATTGATAATGAAGAAAACGATAAAGGAGTGTGTAAATGAGAAACATCAAAATCATCTATTTTGGGTAAAGTAGCTGTTGCTGATAATATTGAAGATGACGATAATGGTGATGATGATAATGATGATGATAGTGATGATGATAATGGTGATATGGCAGTATTAATATTAATATTATTAGTAGTGGAAGCAATAGAAGTAGCAGGTGACAATATATTATTACTATTGGTTAATTTTCTTTTTGGTAGTGGTATTGGCGGAGGTGGTTTATTTATTTTTGTGGTAGAATTTTGTAATTTTGAAGAGGAAAGGTGAGGAGTTGAGGAATTATTATTTGTTATGAGAATGGGACTGGCATCAGTCTTTTTTGTTGTCGATGGCAATGATGGTTTTTGTTGTAATATGTTAATTTTGATATCTTGATTGTTTTTTTCTAATAATTTAGGTGGTGCTGGTTGCAGTTGAGTTAGTGGCGGGGGTGGCGGGGGTGGTGGTCTGTGAACTTTAAATTGCTGATCAATTATTATTGAAGCGGTAGATGTAGCGGTAGATGTGGCAGTAGATGTGGCAGTAGGCGAAGTAGTGGTGGTGGTTGATAGGGTATTATTATTTGAAGAAGATTGTTGATATTGTTGGCGAAAAAGATTTTTAAAGTTTGGAAAAAATGATGTTTGTGGAGATCTTGAAGAGAGATCAGGTAGATCATATTGTGTTAAATTAGGCGTTGAATGTGATGCCTGAAGGGAAAATATTGTATTTTTTTTATCTAGGTTGTTATTTTCATCGTTTGAATCAAAATTTTGTGTATATTTAAGTTTATCAACCATCTCTGATTGTTGTTTAATCTAAAAAAAAAAATAATTTAATAAATTTAATGTTGTGTTGTTTGTTAATTAATTAACATTATTATTAATTAATTACCTTTAGGTTCAAGTTATTTATTGATTTTTTTAGTGAATCAATTTCTTGATCGGTTATCATTCCACTGACCAATGAATATTTTCTGCCTATTATGTGCTGAATAGATGAATTATAATCATTCATGATACTTTGCCATTCTATAAGTTAATTGATCGGTTGATTGAGTATTAATATAATTCATTCAAAATAAAATAATTGGAAATAAAAAAATTAAACATACGTTCTTTGACATTATTTGTAGTTTTTATTTTTTCAATAAATTTTTCAACGATAGTTAATACTTCGATTCTGTCTTGCCTATAAAATTAAACATGCATTTTTGACTATTTAAATATTAATGTCAATAATTGATTAATATAGATAAATATATTTACTCATTTGAAAATCTGCAAATAATTTTCAAAAAGTTTTCAAGAGAATCAATGATACGGGAGTGCAAATTCTCATCGTTTTCAGTTTGTCGTAATAATTCATAGATCATATATGGTGGATTACTATTAGTCAATCAATAAAATATTATTGCAAGTTTGTTAACATATTAATTAATTTATATAAATGTAAATGTAATTTTTTTTTCAGATAATATACTTTGCATTTTCAACTATTCCATGGGCCATGTTGTGCAATTCAGCCAAATCTTTTTTGTTCTCTTCTCTATAGACATCAATTTGATTTATCAGAGAATCAGGAGGGTCAGAATTTTCGATAATTGTAAAATAATTGTAGATTCCTCTTCTTCCAAATTCTTCACGTAACAAGATACGTTCTTCAATTTGATCTGGTTTATTAACAATAGCATTCACTAAACTCAAACCAGCCACCTTATACTCAATCGATGTACTATCCTCCTCCTCACCATCAGCATCACCTTTTGTTTTGAAAGTGTCCATAAAATATTGAAAACGATATTTCTCCTTATTGATCACACAAGAATCAGAGAATGACTCAACTACCAATCTATGTCCATCCAATGACCATACACACAATACAGCAAGAATCTCAGCAACTTGAGTACGTAATTTGTTGTTTGGTGTAAATAATAAACAAAAAACAATATTCAAGATTAATGAAGGTGATTTTAAAACATTACATCTACCAATCTAAATTAATTAAAATTTATTTTTAGTAAGAAATAGAAAATGAAGTAAAAATTTCAAGTTTCTTTCATTAATTTTTACTTTTGAATTCATTAAAGCCTTTATACAACGAACACACTGCGATTGAATTTGATAATCTTGGTCTGAATGCTTCGCCACAGCACTGAAAAAGAAGAGTAAATGAGATATAAAAAATTTACAATAATAATATTATAATATAAATAAAATAGTTGTTGTGATCCTTTACTTCTTTTTATAGCAAGCAGAATATTTTTCAAGCAAAGATTCCAGAACTTTTAATCCATTCTTGTCAATAAATTCTTTAATCCATGGAAAATTAGCAGACGATAACACTATTCGTAAAGATAATAGATGTTCTGTTAAGGATTTTGACGAAATGTTTCTAATTATGAAATTTTTGTAGAGAAAAAATTTTTTAGACAAATACATGCAACTTGTATAATTATATATGATATAGTATAAATATTACCTTTGTGATAATTTTTCAATATAAAATTCAGGCAAGTCTTGAGGCTTTGATAAATTACTATTACTATTGTTGTTACTAAATCCCAATAGATATGAAAGATAATTATTATAATTATTGTTATTGTTATTATTATTAGTGGTGGTAGTAGTAGTATTGTTTATTGGTGATTGGCTTCTTTCTTCCAAAGAACCATTTGTTGCAATATTTTTATTATTGTCATTATCATGGTTGTTGTTGTTTCTATAAAGCCAATAAGTCAATGAAAAAGCATTATTATTGTTATTGTTATTATTATTATTATCACTTGATACACTGGTGATAGATGCAACTTCTGAATCATATATTTGACTTTGTTTTGAATTGTTACTGGATTCGACATCAGGAGATGTTCTTAATTGTGGTGATTGCTTTAAATGCTCTTGAGAAGAATTCGGTGGTAATAGAAGAGATGAAGGCGAAGGTACAGTTTTAGTTTTTGATGATGAAATTTTAATATTTTGAAGTTTTTGATTGATTGATTGTGATTGACAATTTTGATGCATTATGATTTTTTTACGATCCATTGAAAGTTGTAATAATTTTTCTCTGGAAGAATCTTGTATATTTAATTCATCCTTATTCAAACAATCGATTAATTATAATTATTATTAAAAGGAAATTATTATGTTTTTAGAAAAATTAATGTTTATTATTAATTTATTAAATTAATCTTACCAAAAAATCTTCAAACATCTCTGACAATTTTTCATCATTGATGTCTTCATAATGTAGTATGGAATCTACATCGTCATTAACTATTGTTTCATAATTGTGTAATTGATTTAAGTTTGATCTAAAAGTGTTGTGATTGACAATAGCTGTTACATTGTCACTTCCACCGACATCATCACTTATCCAATTACCCGGATGAGCAACATTATCACTATTATCATCATCGTCATCATTATTAGTTGTTGTCCCTAATAATAATAACTCAGATGATGATAAATTATCAATCGGATATTCTGAATTATTTAAAGCTGAATTTGAAACTGTATTTATTTTATTTTTTTCCTCGAAAGAATTATCATTTTCTTTGAAAGAATTGTTATTTTCTAAATTGTTATTCATTTTTCCAACGGTTTTTTTTTTTCCAAAATTAATAAATGTACGAGTGTGTGTAAGTTCTATTAAAAAATTTTTTTTAACGAAATCAGCATTGTTTTAACACCATCGTATTCATTTCAAGGAGTAACAGTATATTCAAAACACGTGATATTGTTTGATCAAGTAATTTTTTTTGATTACAATAATAAAAAGGAGAAACAGAAGAAGAAAGGGTTTGATTGTGGTGGTAGTGGGTTTTTAAAGAAATAAATTAAACAAAACACAAATTTGGGTTAATTATATGTGTCACGTGAATATGACGTCACAATTTTGCTTGTTCCCTATTATGGTGTAAATCTAAATTGATTTATTGGGAAACAAAAAATATTTACAATGGCATTATCACTACCCACAGAAATTCTGATGGAAATTTTTTCAAATCTTCCACCACGGGATCTTTATTCTTTATCAGTGACATGCAAACAATACAGGACAATTTTATGGTCAGTTACATCTACCACACAATGTATCTGGCGTATATCAAGACAAAGTTTCTTTGAAGATTTAACCCTACCGCCGCCTGAAGGGATGTCAGAACAATATTATATTTGGCTGATGGTGTTGTTGGAAAAGTGTCAATTTTGCAACGAAGGCGCTAAATTTAAATTGACAATGTATTGGGAGTTCCGTATGTATTGTTGTGAAAGTTGCTTAAAGGAAAGAACTATAAGTCAACAAGTTTTGGTCAATGAATCTAGAATCCCAGAAATCTTAATACCTTGTATGCCATATGTACGGCGTAATTCTGATCCATGCGAACCGCAATTGTTTTTGAAAAAAGATGTCGCTTCAACCTTGGCATTTTATGACAATTTAATACCCGAAGAAAAAGAAAATTGGATAATTTTGCAAAAAGAAAAAATTTCAAAATTATCAATGGATAACGAAGGTTATAATATTCAACATGATCGAACAAGGTATGATGTTAATGAGCTGATTGTAAGAACATTAAGTAGATATCTGTAAAACCGGCCGATGTATTCATTCATTTATTCTTTAAGATGAGAATTTCAATCAAATCACCACCAATAAAATTTATTTATGATAGTAAATAATAATTAGACATTAATAAATAAAAATATTAGAATTTTGTTTTTTATAGATTTTTATTTTTTTTTTCAAATAAATAGATTCACAATTAAAAATCCAAAGAGAATTATTCTATTTTAGTTTTTATTATTATTTTATTTTAATAATAATTATAATAATAATAGTAATACAATATATTATTTAAAATATTATCAGATTCAAAATGTTCTTTATAAAAAAAAAATTTTTTTTTCAACTAATGATTAATTATATAATGTTCATTGTATATATTTTCTTCAATAATAATTTTTTGTATTTTATAAATTTTTTTTTTTTTTTTTTTAAAGACAATTTAAAATTTATCTATATAAATGAATGAAAAATAAAATAGAATTTATTTTTTTATGGTGATGGTAAATTTTCAAAACAATTTTTTTCATCAAGTAATTTTTCTCTATCTCCCCATAACAATTTATAAGAATTTTTAATAGTTGCTTCAGAGACACCAGTTACTTCAGCAACATCTTTTGGTGATTTTGGTTGTTGATACAAACATGAAGCCATATAGATGCAAGCAGCAGCTACCGAGACAGGAGATTTACCTGCCAAAGTACCAAGCTCCTTTGTTCTAGTTGTAAGTTCAAGAGCAGCCTTTTCGGTTTTCATATTAAGACGCAACATTGAACAGAACCGTGACATCAAATCTTCAGATACCATTGTTGGTACATTAGTTTCGAATGTACCTGTCAAGATTTTAAAACAACGTCCAATGTCTTTTTTTGGAACGCGAGTTTTTGCATGGATCTCTTTAAAAGTACGTGGTACATTTTGTTTACGACAAGCAATGAATATACATGCCGCAATTATAGATTCTGTGCTTTTTCCTCTCAACAGTTTCTCTTCTTCGGCACGTCTGTACAATTGTTTAGCAACATCAGCTATAACTTTTGGTAGATCCATTGCATCACTCATTGCTGCAATTTCTTTGTAAGCTTGAATAAGGTTTTTTTCACCTTTTACAGCATTTGCACGACCATGAACTCTGTTTAGGTCTCTTGCAGTTCCACTACCACCATCTCTTCTTGATATCACTGTATCTAATTGTGAACCTTCCAAAAGGGGATTTGCTGCTGCACCAACACGAGATGGATCATCTCCTTCATCATTGGCAAAGGTTCTCCATTCAGATCTAGTATCAATAATACGATCGCCTAATATCAGACCACAGTCACCACAAACTAGATCCCCATTTGCATATTCTTCAACAATGTTTGGTACAGGGTTTTTACAATCAGGACAAATCAGCCTAATGTTTAAATCTGGGAGAATTTGTTTCGGACCTTTCTCAGGTGCCGGTTGAAGACGTGGAAATGGTATGGCTGACATTTTTTTATTTCTTTTTTTCAAAAAAAAAAAAAAATAACCTAGTATACAACAAATTAATTATTATTAACTTACATTTTCTTCCTTTCATATAATCATAATAATTAATTAATTATTTTTTTGCAATATCATATGTGTGTGTATATATATATATATACCTTTTGCAATTATAAAATCCTTGTTTCTAAGTGACTTTATATTAATTTAAAAGTAATATTCTTAAAGGTTATATATATATTGTTACGACTATATTACTTTCACACACTTCTTTCCTACTTTTAAAGTGAGAATTTAGTTGGTTTATTAGGTTTAAAAGTGGTGAATATTTTACGTAAAGGAGTTCAAGGTGAAAAAAAAATAATAACAATGAGGTGCAGCTACCATGTAGTTGTTATTATTTATTATTCACAAAAAATATCCGCAAATTGCTAAATTGATTTCTAAATATGCCCAACCATTATAAATTTCTAAATAATAATAATGATAAACCGCAACTAGAAATTTTCAGGAGTTCAAAAAACGAAGTGAACATTGAATTATATTAATATTAATATGCATCAAATTTTCATAGAGAAAACTACTAAAAAGGAAATAAGTAATTATACATACAATACCATGTACTTTGATGGAAAAATCAATAGTTGTAAAAAAAATCGGAATTTCTCTCTCCATTACTATTACTATTACTATTACTATTACTATTACTATTTATATTTATATTATTTATTATCACGTTTTCACAAACTGCAAATATCTTAATATTTCTTACTTTTCCAAACGAATTTTTCTTTTTTGCTTCATCATACCAAAAAGTCAATGGATAAACCAAAGTGGAATGGAATGAGTTACATGTAAAGAAAGTATTGTTGCCCTCGCCATAAAAAACTTTTACCAATTGTCATGATAAAGAAACAAATATATAATTTTTATATTTATATAAATAAAAACATGATTTACCTTTCCTTGTATCTGGATGAATACTTTTGTCTCCATATGTTGCATCTTTATGTACGCAACTATGGTTGAAAAAGTTGCAGTTGCTGGACCACACTATCCGAGTTCTTTATTCACATTATAATAATACCGAAAAAGCCATCTTTTGGGGCTAATTGGTCTTTTTCAAGTTCTCTCAAGTACCTGATTCTAAGTGCAATTAATAAAATCCATAGCCCCCGAATCACATCAGGTTTGGAGCCTCCAGGTTGATGTATATAGATTAACTTTTTTTTGGGACAAAAAGATGAAGATTTGGTTTTTAAATTCTGAGAATTGAATCAAACGTCAAAGGTTTTAGCTGTCATTTGTTGATTTTATCGGTTCGTTTCCTGTTAAAAACAATGCAGCTATTATTAATATTAAAGCTACAATGAAATATAGCCAACTAAAGAAATCAAAAGTTATTACCAGCCTTTAAAACCTAAGATCCAATAACACGTATAAAATGACAAGTAAAATTCTCTTTCGTAACGATTCAATTTTATGTTGTGTTATACAATTACAACGGATAAGATTAATTTGACACTTTTTTAAAAATAAAGAACCTATCACCGCCATCATCATTATTATTACCACTATCACTAATCATCAACATCCAGTATTTCTATTCGAATATACGTGGATATCCTTAATTAAATTGATTACAAAAAAAATTTTTCCTTCAGTATTATTCAATTAGCAAGATGAAGATGAAGAAACAAATTTGAATTTCTGTCAAAGTCCATTACTGACAAACCATGGAAGACTTAGAGAAAGTTTTATTTTCTACCATAAGTAGATTGCATTCTCTTCAGACGGATGAATGGAATTGATTATATCCATCATTTCTTGAAAAAGGGAACGAACCTACCTTTTTTTTTTCAAGGATCAAGTCATTTGAGGCCAAGATATTTTAAAACATGATATGTTTGTTGTATATAATTTTATATTGTTAATACAATTTATTGAATAGAAAATGATGGTGATGAAATGGTTATTATAACTATGAGTGACAATTGTCGGTTTAATAATATTATTTATATATGTGGTATGTTTTTTATTTGATTAGAAGTGATGTTTCAAAATCAAAGTATTTTAAATCAAGCAAGATATTATGAACAAATTAGTAAGAAGGTTGATAATAGTGGTGATTGTGATAAAGATATGATGGTGATAATGATGAAATACCAAATTTTAGTCGTGAAGTAATTTTTTTAGTTCTGTAAACATGGTTTTTAAGTTTATTTTCAATCATTCATTTTAAGATTTTCAATATCTATGTCAACTGATATGGTACATCTGTTAATTGTCTAGGCTTCTTAATATTAGAGATAAATGGAAGGGTACAGTGGTACATATTTAAATTCAATTACTTATTATTTAAAAAAAAGTTATATATACATCCAATAACTTAATTAGAGAGGCAATTTTTAAGTGATCATCAATAAGATCAAATAAAAATTGATTAATCGAATAAAATCGATTCTAAATTCAACTCGGCTTTCGGAATCGAAGAAGAGGCTAGAGCCGGTAACAACTGTTTACATTCCTTAAACATTACTAATTAAAATACGAAGACATGTTCTTCGTCTATATTAATTGAATCACCATCATCATTTTCCAGAATTATACTGATACAGATCTGTTGGCCGAACCTCTCTAATTCCGGCAATAGTTAAATAACCTTATGGGTGGAATAACCTTGAATGGGAAGAATAGCCAGTTATGGGCGATATAACTCTTAGTGGGCAAAATAATCCTGAACGGGCTACTAATTAATATAAGAAACTTGAAATCGACATGTTGTAAAGATAACTTTTGTAATAAGTTTTATAAGTTAGGATAACTCAATTGGTTTCGATTAAATTAAATAAATTCTTATCTCTTAAAACAAAATGAAATTAATTCGTTAATAAACCTATTCATTCTGACATATATAATATCTGTTATCACCAATACACCAATACGCTCCCAAAATTAATCGGTGACAAATAAATTAATGATTCAATTAAACTTTTTACAGATAAATTTATTCAAATTTCCAACTTTTATTGTCCTTTTATTTATTTTATTAGTTGAAATTAAGAATCTTTTTACAATCAAAGGTTATTATTATTACTATTTGGTAATTAATGATTTATACATTAAAAATCAGGATGTTGTGTGAATTGTCAATGGATGATTAATTATTCACATTAATATTTAGTCAAGAAAATAAAGTGCGTAGTGAAGTTATTATAGTAAAGGAGAGGTAGATAGAATGTTTTATTTACGAGTTAATTTTTCTATAATCTTTATGTGTTGAGGATATTGTTCTGAAAGATATCCAAATGTTGCCATTTCAAAATCTTTATAATCAAATCCCGGAGCCACACTACATCCAACTAAAGCAAAATTGTCATCATTTTGATCACCAAGTTCGGCACCGAACCACGCATTTTTTTCAACAACAGAAAAAAATTTTTCTCCTTTATCTATATTATTGCCAAGGTTGTGGACAATAAGTTTTCCATCCGTTTTTATTTCATAAATTTTGACACTGGTATTGCCAGCATAATAATGCCAACCTTCATCAGACTTGATTCTATGAAAGGTAGAAAAGTTTTTTCTATCAAGCAAAAAATATATTACTGTTGAACAACTTCTATTCCCATCAAACTTATCTGATAAACCAACTTTTTTAATCACTGATTTGTCTTGATAGATTTGCGAGTAATACCCTCCTTCTGGATGTGGTTCCAGGTGAAGTTTTTTAATAAAATACGAAGCAGAGGTTTTATTATAACTTTGCATTTTTTATTTTTTAAATGGAAATAAATAATTCTCTATATTTATATAATAATAATTATTATAATAATAAACAATCAGATAATTAATTAATCACCGAGTTACATCATCGGAGAAATCAGTATTTAATATTAGTAAACACTTAACCTAACTTAACCTAAATTGTGAAGATAACGGATCACAAAATATTTTGAATAAGTCACACCACAAAAATACAAACCAATCAATTTCAAACAATCTTTCACTTGGTGTTGAGGTCGTAGAAATTGGCGAGCAAGTTTTGCAAGAATGGAACATTTTGTTTTTTATTTTAAATTTCATCCAAAGATGTATTGTAATTTAATAGATTTGGAAGTGTACTACAATTCATTCATGGATCAGCACAAGCAATTAAAACGAGTCTATAGAGGTTCCGTATTCCGTAAAATGCTCAGTATGAAACAAAATATGGAATCGAAGATCGTACAGACTGGCCCCCCACCAATCAACTTTTTATTTTCAGAATTCACAAATTCCGTTCCGTACAAAATTAAAAAATATAATAATAATAATAATAATAATAACAAATAAAAAATGTACGGAGCAAAAAAAATATTGTATGGAATGAAGGTTGTACTGACTGATTAAACCAATTCCACACTTCCTTTGACTTATGTTTAGTCGTTTTTTTTAGGAATTATATTAATGTTGATGGTAATTGGTGTTGTACACGGACATGTCTATATTAATATATTAATTTATATAGTAACCGAGAACCTGATTCTTTAAAGTGGAGAAGCACTAGTTAGATTGATCTATGAAAGACTGTGCTGCATAATAAAAATGTGACATGCGCATGAAAAAAATATGCAATGTCCCATATTAATATATAATATAATCTATTCAAAAAACAATGCGAATTTTTAATTTTTACCAAGTTATTATTGATTATATATTGATAGTAGTTTTAAGACCTCATTTTGTTAAACTAGGTAGAATTGATAATCCCAGCTCCTATTTCATCAGCTTGTTCTAAAAAGAATTGGTCCACTTTTCTTTATACAAATTGACATCTGAATGTGTTTAAATTGTATATATATTTATTTTATTACAAATTAAAATGTCCAAAAAATACCAACAATGATAATATGAATATTACAATTGATGGTGATAAAATTGTGGGAGACGAAAATGATAAAAGTGATGAAGAAGGTGGTGGCAGTGATAATAATATTGAAAATGGTATTTTTAAAAAAATGCGCAATTTCCCATCTCTATGAAGACTAATCTGTCTGTTAACATTATTTATTATTATTTTCCCAATGTAAAATTGAAAATTTCTCAGTTTTTTTATACAGCTTATTAAGAATACAAGGTTCTAAACTATTATTATGGATTTTTAATATTAATTTTACATAGTTAAATATAATTTTCCTTTCAGAATTCAACTAATGATATAAAATAAAATTGTTATTTAAAAAAATTATCTCAGAACATTATTATTAGGATAAAGATAAGGCATTAGGAACAAATTGAGAATTTCTGTATTGTTGAACTTGTCCTTCACTAGGTATTTCTATGACATCACTTGGAACTGATTTCTTTTTCTTTTGATATAATCTTATAATTATGAATGTTGCTATTGTTGCTACTGTTATTCCACATGAAATTGATGATAGTACTAATGCAGTGTTTGGTGATGTTGGTGATGTTGATGTTTCTGATAATGTTGATGTTGATGTTGATGTTGATGTTGATGTTGATGTTGATGTTGATGTTGATGTTGACTTTGATGTTGATGTTGAGTTTGCCTCAGATGCTGAATAACTTGTTTTCCAAGTAAAATCTTTAATATCAAGTATATAAGTATTTGCACTCAATAAATTTGTATCTGAAACATTATTTATAACATATCCTATATATATAGTTTTTATTTTTGATTAATTAATTTTAGGTTTGAAAGGTCATAAAAATATTATAAAAAATTTACCAAAACATATTATCATTTGATTTCCTATTAAATTAGCTGTATGCATTGTTAGAGGTGGAGCACGATTAACAGGTGAGAAATCAGGTGCAGACCATTGAAGGGGATTTGTGGTTGTATCCAGTACCAGAAGTTCAGGAAATGATGTGATTTCTGCAGGATTGCTTCTACTGCCACCATAAACAATTATCTTTCCATCCTTTGCTATACAATATATATGGTTTTAGCATGGTATTTCTTTTAAAAGAACATTTAGAAAATTAAAAAAATTAATTACAAAGTACAGCTGTATGATAAGCTCGAGGTTGGATAGATAGTGGACCACTTGCTGTCTAAAGTGTAAGAAAAATAAATTAAATATTCTGTTTTTTCTCATTAATAAATTTTAAACATTATACTTTAATTGATTAATATTACCATAGTTGACCAAATTGAACTATTTGTATCAAAAATTTTTATCTATAAAATAAACATATAATTCAACCATAAATATTCTACTTTTTTAAAAAGACTATAATCAATGTTCACTATATGCATATATAAAAATAATGCTACTTTATAGATATCTACTAGAGTTTCCTCACCCTCTATACCACCAATAATTACAATTCTACCATCAGGTAACAAATTTGAAGTATGAGAAAAAGTTGGTAATGGTGGATTATTAGAGAAAACTTGATGCCAAGTCAGATCTACTGTATTCAAAGTATACATATCATTAAGACATTGGGGGGTAGGGGATCCAGTAGCTACATCTACTTTCCCACCAAAAATATACATTTTTCCATTACTATCCACAACAACACTACTACCTCTACGATTCATGGGAGTAACACCAGTTGTTTTTGGAGCATTCCAAACTTTTGTATTTACATCATATGCATAAAGCAAATTAGTAAAATCATTTTTTTTAGAAGTTGGGTTCCACATAATTCCACCAAATAAAAATATAGTTGATTTATTTGATCTACCAACTGCTCCTACAGACCAAGAATTTTCTACAGGTATATTGTTGCCATCCACCCATGGTACATTTATAGCACTGAAATCACTAGTTAAATTCACATAAAATAATGAATCTGTTACACCTACTATATCTTGACCTCCAAGAATATAAAGCTTATTATCTACCACTACACTAACAGCTACAAAACGTCTTGCACTAGAGTCAGAAAGCACATTTGTAATAATAAATATTACAATAATAATAAATATTAAATACAATTTGCCATCTTTGAAATTCAGACCCATAATTATTTTATTCTAAGCAAATAATTAAAAGGAACTTCAAATGTTTTTGAATGAATTAAGATTTAATTTATATATTACTGTTGTCAAACAACAACAAAATCATTTTTGATTGTTGTCTGTAATACAATTATGTCTTGCTTCCTCTGTGTCAATTATTCTTTACATTATACACCAAATAATCCTATTGAATTTATATTTGATTTTCTCATTGGCCATTACTCCAACAAAAATAAAGAATGACAGTAAGGCGAAGATGTATAATTACCACCTTGCACTCTTCAAATTTAACTTTTGCTATTATTCATATGATCAACAACGCCCTCTGTATTATTAATTAATTAAAGTTTTATGTAATTAGCACTATCGAGTGAAAAAAACCCATTATAAATAACCTAATTATTTGTGACTATATTTTAGGTGTACAGAGTAGTAAGCGGAAATTTGGATGTTTCCCGATCGACACATCACTTGAAAGAACTATGTTAGAAAGAGAAAGAATGAGTATTGGTCTTCAAGCTTTGTTATTATTGCAGTTTAAAACCCAGTATTAAATGAAATCAGTAAATCCAGTCGAAGGGGTGATTCGGAGCGGGGATAAACAAGTAAAATTAATATTAAAGTGCAACATATTAGTGATTGGAAAGGTAAATCCAAATTTAAAATAATAAACTTATTATTTTTGAAGAAATGAGGCACTATTATTACCAGAAAATTTTGTAAGTCTTCTTGGAACTATACTTTTGATACATAGTTAAATAAATTTCCTAATAA